TGTCTCGCGGGCCGAGACAGCAAACACTGTCTCGCCCGTCGAGACAGCAAAAGCTGTCTCGCGAACCTGTTTTCTGCCAACTGTTCTTGGAGGTTATAAATACCCTCCTAAGGCCATTTTTCCAGGGGGCTGATCATTGTGAGTACTTCAGAGCAATCCAGAGCAATCCAGAGCAGAGAGAGAGCAGAGGTGCTGATCTTACGGCCAATCCTTGATAATCAGGCTTTGACTTGATTTCAAGAAGAACGACTATCTTACATCGATAAGATATCGTTTCAATTTCTCACTTCGATAAACGAAGTCAGAATCATAAACCCCTCACGGTTCAATCAGAATCTGTGATTTGGTGGTCCACGAGTCAAAGCGCTCCCGGCACAGGCAAAGATCCCACGAAAGCAGTGATCCAAACAACGATCCTGCGTTTATTTTCTCAAGAGTTGTAATTTTCTTTTTGTTGTGTAAAAGAGTCTTATAAAAAGGCTGTTTTCTTTGAATTTATTGTAATCGACCGAAGATATAATGAATTCGACAACAAATTCGACTTTTGGCGAAAACAATGACAAATACACAGAAAACAATACTCAAAGTAAATGACGAGAGATATACGTGGTTCGGCAAATTTGCCTACGTCCATGGGAGGGGTGAAGGGAGATTCCACTATGATGGAGAACACTGACGACTTGCACAACCCACACGCTCCTCCCAAAGAGATGAAGCTTCGATTTTACCCAAGAGAAGACAACCTCTTTCTTGTTCAATCCCTCTAAGTTCTCTCTCCTTTCTCTCGTCAAGATCTCTCCTTTTCAGATCCAAAATCTCTGTTAAAACTCTCCCCTTTTTTTATATCTATTTTCAATCCTAGGAAACAACGTTCCTATTTATATCAAATCCCAGTCCAAAACCGATCTGGAAAACAAAACCGTCCGCTCTCGGATTCCGAGACACCCTGAGGTGTCTCGGCTCGCGCGCACAATGCCGAGACACCCTTTGGTGTCTCGCGCCGTTCACAGTTGTTTTCCCATAATACAGATATTAAGGTAGGGATTATTAGTAAATGTTTTCCAAGCATGCTGATCATTAATCTTTGGCTAAGTTTGGTGCATAAACTTAGCATGGCAAAGTACAACACTACTTTTGTGACAGGAAATGCGTTGGACGTGCATAACGCTTCTTGTGCTTGCCCAGTCTAAATATTATTGTTCATATTTCAAGTTTTTACCTTGGTCAGAAACTAATCTGTATATATAATCCAGTATGCTGAGACCGAAGTTTACAATTTAGTAATTTCCATATAATTTGTGGAATGTTAAGTTGTAAATTACATTAAATCATTCGTTTTTTACCTGCACTTGAGTTATAATCGCTGTTAGTACTAAACCGTTACTATTGGAAAACCAATTTATTTATTGCCTAACAACATTAAAAGTATCTAGATCCTGACATGTTTTGTTCGTTTTTATTTATTTAAGGCAAGGATCTTAATCATTTTGTAAATAAATAAATATAATTAAAGATTCAGTGAGCATGTAGCTTATCTCTTTGTTCTCAAGTCTTTGGGCTGGTATGACATTTGCGCTGGGCTTTGACGTTGGGGGCCCATTCTCTCTCGAACCAAAAAGTTTCGGGTGGGTTTTGGATCCAAATAACTTTAATCAGTCCCCACCTCGCGCTCGTTGCCTCGCTCCTCTCTCTCTCTCTTCCTTGATTTTAACCTCCATGCGAAACATCTCACCCGCTCTATTCGTTTCTTAATCTCTTTATTTTCCAAACCTTGAACGATGCAGGTAATCCTATTACTCAAATATTTTTTTTCTGGATTTTTAGCTTCTTTTTTACCACTAATTTTGCCCAATCTTATTAAATCTTAACCCTATAAAGACCTAATGTTAGCTTCAACGAGATAAATCTTTTTTGTTGCTGTAATCTCTAAAGCTTTATAATCTCTTAAATTCGAACTAGGAAATATGGAGTTGAATCAAGATGAGATTTTGTGCAAGGAGTCTACTGTGAAAAGGGTATCTAGGGTTTTATGTTGATGATCAACAGAAACCTGCAGATAGAATTAGGCGCATTTCAAGTTGTACGAGGAGAGTTTTGAGCCATGATTCAAATCCTGATTTAACTTCGTTGATTAAATTTCTTTCAACACTTTGACGTTTGCTATGTGCCGCGCTGCAGCATTAGAGAGTATATACTGGATATATTGCTTATAATTTTTGGTAATTGTGTAAAGTACACTTTAGTTTTGCAAAAGGTATAATCATTGTTTTAGTTCTCATGTTTCATGTCGCTAGGCAATATTTTCCCAAAAGAACAAGTTTATAGGTAGTTTTATGTAGAAAAGCGAAGTGGGTAGGTATATAGTTTTGAAGTGTTTGGAGTGAGGTTAGCTGCATTCAGTTAAGAATGATGCAGATTTGAATTTATGGAAATTGATTGTTTGCATTCTAGTGCTTGCATTTCATAAGACCTTAAAACTAATGCATGTTTCAATAAGTGATGAATTATATAGAAGTTGCTCAGATAAGATGAAACCAGGTTATTTGGAATATTGTTTGAAAAGAAGTAATTGATGGGTCAGGCCATTAGTATTAGGGGCATACACTAGAACAAACACTAGATGAAGGACTTATTTGGAACTACAGAGGTTAGGACGTGAAACTTTAATGATAAAATGTCAAAAAAATTTGAAGAGCTAAATATTTGGAACAAAATATTAATTCTATCAGGAAAGTAGATCTCTGAAGAATATGAACTATACATTTTCATTATTGTGGATTAGTAGGTTGGTCGAGTGAAGATGCGCAAAAGTCGTAGACAAAGAAGAGGTAACATCTTATAAACTTAGTTGGTGTGTGACTAATTAAAATATTGAAAATAAATATTACTATATTAGGAAAGAATAAAGCTAAGAAAGCGGTTAGTGAAACTACATTTTTGGCACATAAGAACTTGATAACATATGTTAATGTTTGTAAAGCTAATACAAAAAAGAGTTGAGACCCATAATGTTAATTGTTTGAAGTATAAATCTTACAAGTCCTAATCAGTGCTTTAAGAAGCAGTCTGGACTTTGAACTCCATGGATAGAAACAATTCCAAAGCTAACTTCGTCATTTATAGATGTTGCCACTGATACTACTCATTGCTTCTCTGTGCCCCTATTTTACCCTTTTTCTTTTGGCCTTTTCATACTGATGGCGTTATGCTAATATAGCGGAGGCAATGGTTGTTATATTAGCAGCAATAGAGAGTGGCTTATAGGTTTTATTTCTTCATTCTTCGCTATTCCTTTTCTTCTTTCAGTGAAGCGCCATCTATGCTCCATGTTGCTGTAACCACCCTGCAATAATTAAGATATTGTATAGCATGAGTCCTATATATAACAGAACTAAAAATATACTTTGCAAAGATAAAAATTGAAAAGCTGTAGGATGTATCAACATTCCTCTTAGGTGTCAAAATATCTGGAGACTTGAGGAATAGTTTATGTTCATAAGATTTGTTAATGGAGAGACACTTCTGTGTTTTTTGAAAGACTAAAAGAGATTCAAAGTTGTAAATCTAGCGAAGATTAGTATATAACCAAGTAATGGTTGGGAGTAATATTTTCGTTAAGTAGGACCAATAAATAATCATGAGGGAAAGTGAAGAGGATGTTCTACTTCAAACTCAGACAAACAAAATGGAGATTGTTGTTGGAATAATATGTGATCATCGAATAACAATAAAGTTGAAAAAGAAAGTATAAGCTGCTTATATGACAAACAAAACTTTATTGTTCTCTATGTTTGTTAATTAGAATCAAACACTTCTATAAAATAAGTGTAGTGGACATGAGAAGTTTGATGAATAAATTGAGAGCGTAGAGAGAATGATAAAGAATAAATGTGTTTGTTAGATATTAGTGAAAGCTTTTCTTTAGTATAACATGATTATAAAATAAGGTAAATTTGATTGCGTTGGTATGAATATGGTCAAGGTGGATAAATACACCAGTTATAAGTAGATTATGGAGTGTCAAAGGAATATTGATTGACCACAGTGATCATAGTCAGGTAATGAAAAAGAATTATCATTGTAGCTTACCTAATGAGGGGCCTTAATTAGTTTCTATGAGAAAAAACTATAGTCTTGATACTAAATATTGGGACAAAGGTTGTTCTATTATTTTTAATAAAATTAATCATCTTAATCCTTCATTAGTTAGCAAGCATAAAAAAAATTAATTATTCATCTTAGCTATCAAATCCAAGCAAAATTTGATCATTTTTAATCCCTCGTGAAAGATTAACTAATTTAATCTTTCCTCTTAACTATTCTATTTTAACCCCTTGCCAACGGGCACCTTAGAGACTAATTTCAGCACATGAAATATTTCAAGGGATCCCCCCTCCTCTCTTTAATTGATTTCAAATGCGCCCTTAATTTCAAAATACGGTCAGCTAAACCATGCAGTTAAAAATTTAGACCCGACCCGGTAAAGATGAAGGGCATGGCGACATAATAATCCCTCAGTCTGTTGATCGATATAAACCTCAGTGCAAAAATTTTATAGCGAGGAGGGAAAAAGAAAAAAAATCTCACTCTCTTTATTCGTTCCTCAATCTCTTTATTTTCCAAGCTTAACGATGCAGGTAATCCTATTTCTCAAAATTATTTTTTGGATTTTTAGCTTCTTTTTTACTATAATTTTTGCCCAATAAAAGATTTTTTATTAAATCTTAACCCTATAAAGCCCTAATGTTAGCTATAACGAGATAAATCTTTTTGTTGGTGTAATCTCTAAAGCTTTATAATTTCTTAAATTCGAACTAGGAAATATGGAGTTGAATCAAGATGAGATTTTGTGCAAGGAGTCTATTGTAAAAAGGGTTTCTAGGGTTTTATGTTGATGATTAACAGCTATGTAGCACGGACACGAATCCGACACGGCCATCCGACACGCCGACACGAGGCAAATCCTAAAAAATACATAGGATACGTGTGTTTGACACGTGTGTCAGACACGGACACGACACAACACGGCTTCATGTTATGCGTGTCTGTGCTTCATAGATTAACAGAAACTTGCAAATAGAATTAGGTGCATTTCAAGTTGTACGAGGAGAGTTTTGAGCCATGATTCAAATCCTGATTTAACTTTGTTGATTAAATTTCTTTCAACACTTTGACGTTTACTTTGTGTCGCACTGCCGCATTAAAGAGTATATACTGGCTATATTGCTTTTAATTTTTGGCCAACATTGTAACTATAGTCTTGATACAAAATTTAGACCCTTAATTTTTTTACTTTATTTTATTATTATAAATCAGTCATATGCATTTGGCCTTTTCATACTGATGGCAGTTATGCTAATATAGCGGAGGCAATGGTTATATTAGCAGCACTAGAGAATGGCTTATAGGTTTTATTTCTTCATTCTTCACTATTCCTTTTCTTCTTTCAGTTAAGCACCATCTATGCTCCATGTTGCCCTAGCCACCCAACAATAATTAAGATATTGTATAGCATGAGTCCTATTTATAACAGAACTAAAAATATACTTTGCAAAGATGAAAATTGAAGAGCTGTAGAATGTAGCAATATTCCTCTTAGGTGTCAAAATATTTGGAAACTTGAGGAGTATGTTATGTTCATAAGATTTGTTAATGGAAAGGCACTTCTGTGTTTTTTGAAAGCCTGAATGAGTTATTTAAAGTTGTAAATCTAGTGGAGATTAGTATATAACCAAGTAATGGTTGGGAGTAATATTTTTGTTAAGTCATGAGGGAAAGTGAAGAGGATGATCTACTTAAAACTTATTTATAACAGAACTAAAAATATACTTTGCAAAGATGAAAATTGAAGAGCTGTAGAATGTAGCAATATTCCTCTTAGGTGTCAAAATATTTGGAAACTTGAGGAGTATGTTATGTTCATAAGATTTGTTAATGGAAAGGCACTTCTGTGTTTTTTGAAAGCCTGAATGAGTTATTTAAAGTTGTAAATCTAGTGGAGATTAGTATATAACCAAGTAATGGTTGGGAGTAATATTTTTGTTAAGTCATGAGGGAAAGTGAAGAGGATGATCTACTTAAAACTAGGACAAACAAAATGGAGATTGTTGTTGGAATAATATGTGATCATCGAATAGCAATAAAGTTGAAAAAGAAAGTATAAGGTGCTTATATGGCAAACAAAACTTTATTGTTCCCTATGTTTGGCAATTAGAATCAAACACTTCTATAAAATAAGTGTAAAATAAGTGTAAAATAAGTGTAGTGGACATGAGAAGGTTGATGGATAAATTGAGAACGTAAAGAGAAAGATAAGGGATAAATGTGTCCATTAAATATTAGTGAAAGCTTTTCTTGAGTATAACATGATTATAAAATAAGGTAAATTTGACTGCATTGGTATGAATATGGTCGAGGTGGATGAATACACCGGTTGGGAGTAGTAGATGGAGTGCCAAAGGAATATTGATGGACCACAACAATCATAGTTAGGTAATGAAAAGGAATTATCATTGTAGCTTACCTAATGAGGGCCTTTAATTAGTTTCTATGAGGAAAAACTATAGGCTTGATACAATATATTGGGACAAAGGTTGTTCTATTATGTATAATGGTTCTACAAACTATTACTTGACAAAAAATCCTTATAATGAATATTTCAACTCATTGAGGGAGTTACTGAGCCAAGAACAGTATACGAAAAGGAACTATCGTTTTCAAAAATCACTTTGGTCGATGCAAAAGAGTACTTCTGAAATTGTTTATTAAGAGTCTAAACCTATTGATGTAATTAATTGATTCAGAAAATGTTGCAGGATGGAGATAGTGTGGTCTAAGAAAGAAACAAGATTCATGTAGTTATATTAACGAAGACACGTATGATGGGGGACGAGAGCATGTGAACAGTTGGAGGAGAATCAAGCGCCATTCTTCAGCATCTTAGGCTTGCATCATTGTTTACATTAAGTTTAACTGTTACTCAGGGTTACCCATGCATGAGTTTACTAACCATATTCAGTTTGTGGTCTCCAACTCACCATCTCAGCATCCTTTTCCCCATTCAGCAATACTTGTAATGATTTGTCAACATAATTACTAGAGCATCCTTTCAAATCATCCACCTTCGACATGCAGTGTTGTAATTTATTATTATTTTAATTATTCTAGAGGATAACGGTCACACTCATGCTTTCTTTTTTATATTATATCTTCAAATTGAATCGTTTCCATTTTGGTTCTTATTGAAACTATTCATATTTGCCCAGGCCAGTGACAGGTTTAATATTAACTCCCAACTCGAGCATCTTCAAGCTAAATATGTTGGGACTGGGCATGCTGATATGAGTAGATTGTAAGTTGCTGGTGTTTGTTAATACGTTTCTTCCTAGATTCAATTGTTTAAGAACATTTTCAGGTTTTTTTGTTCTCTTTTAACTGCAGTGAGTGGGCGGTTAACATCCAACGTGATAGCTACGCATCTTATGTTGGCCACTACCCCCTTTTGGCTTACTTTGCTGTTGCTGAAAATGAATCAATTGGGAGAGAACGCTACAATTTTATGCAGGTACGACATAGATAGACATCTTGTGTAGTGCTTGGAATTTGCCATTTATATTTCCTAATTTCAAATTTTAAAAATCTGATCATCTTGCATCATGATAACCTTACATCACTTTGGACTGGAAATGACAGAATTAAGTATATTGTTTCGTATATTGGTTGCATTCTTTATATATAACCTAAGTGCAAACCATCTCCTCATAGCCTATACAGAAAGACACACAAAGTTGAGGAGTGTACTAGATGCAGTAACATCAGTAATTTTACCTCGCACAGCAGGGTTCACACTGAAATTGTCTGCTGGTGTAATGATTTCATCACAGATGAGTGGCTATCTAGTGTTTTTAGAGACATGCAAATAGACACAAATACCTATACTTTCAAGATGATATTTGTGTCCGCAAAGCTCTTTTCTGCTAAGGTGTCCAAGAAGAACATAGGGTACAATGGGAATTGGTAGCCTGAACAACCGGATTATCCACAATGTCTGATTCTTATGCTCTGTGTTTGTGATGGTTAAGTTAACATCTTGAATGTGGAGCATTAATTTTACTACATCAAAAGAAAATCAGCAAAAAGCTGAGTTAGCTAGAAGATGAGGTCTCACATATCATTAAAAAATAAACTCAAATTTCTTAGTCTTGTTGCATAGGTGAGGTGGACATTTTATGTTTATTTTTCATCCATGGGATGTTGATCTGGTCAAGGCATTCGGTACGACACATGTAGCGCAAGTGTTAAAACATACCAACGGCGAGAGGATAATTGGAAAGCATGTTGGTATATCCTTCAACTTCAACATTGAAAGCATGTTGGTGTATCATTCAACTCAACATTGAAGGTACCCTAGTTAGATGCATGGGTTTTTTCACTAGTAACTGGTAGGCTTCAGCTAAAATATTCGGTGGTTCTAACTTGTTCTTGACCATTTCTGCTTCAATTTTTTTAGATCCTTGTTTTCTCTTTATTTCAGGCATGCAACTAAGAATACTCATATATGATGTGTCATCAGTGTATATATGTACTAGCTTTAAGGATATTAACTGTATTTCATGTCACTGATTCCTACTGAAAGCTACGGGCCACATAGAGCAAGATAATATATATTTGTTATGCCCCTTTTTTTCCCTTTTGGCTAGTCTGATAAGCATCTTTTGGATGGACGGGAGCCTCACTTAGGTCAAACTCATAATTTCTAAGACTTCCAGTTCCATGTATATGAAGTGAATTCCTCTGTTAGGTTATAGTTTACTAGCAACTGTTATAGGCACATGCGTTTCAGGTATTCGAATGGAGACTTTAAATGCAGGCACGCAGCACCTTGGTAGCTAACAAATATATTTCGTTTTTCACCTAGGTAACTCTTGTAGAGAAAAGCATCTGCAATTAATGATTCCATTTGGTAATGTGGATACTTGACTGGGTAAATAAGTATAATTAACATACTTGGTGTGGCCATTTACTATTGTACAATAATCTATCAGACCCAAATTTCATGGTGTTAGATATCAACACCTGAACTATGTTTTACCGACTCTGCTATGTTCGAATGCAGAATTGAATGACATGATTTAATGTTCCTATACCCATATTTCCAGGGTATAAAAAGACAACCACTTGGGAACAATACATAGGATCAAATAGGATTCTACTTCCCAGTGTGAGAGCGATCCATGATTCCTGATTTTAGTGAAGATGTCTAGAATCGATTGAGTAAAGTTACGGACTTTGGTGTCACAATGTCCTGACTTAAGTAAATTTTCTAAATGTTCCTTCACTGTACACTGCATAGTGCCCTATTATCATGGGGGTGAGATGTTCAGATGCAAGCTTTTCTGGTTCTGCAGTACTTTATTAAACTCTACTTTGTCAGTGGATAACCATGCACGCTAGTACCCTAAGCTGTCCAAAATTGGCACGTTAGTACATTCTGCTAGTTGCATATATATCACATGTCATTTTTGTATTTTTTGACCCATTTATTGTTGTAATTACAACTTTGCCTACCCTCCATCTTTTTATTAAATTCTACACTATTTTTTTAAATACCTAATATCCTTCATTCTTTCCCAAGTTCCCTTCTTCTTCCCCAAACATCAGACAAAATATTAACCAAAAGCCCAAACCATGAAATCTTTATATCAGAGAGAACTCATCAGTTCCAATTGATTCAGGGCCATAACATTCACTCAATTAACTTCAAACAAAATCTAAGTAAAATTGAGCACAATAGACCCATGATTTCACGCACCCAAACCAACTTTCGGAAAAATAAAATAAAATAATAATTCAACTTTGTAACACCATCTCTAACACTAATTGACCCAAATTTATCCGTTTAGAGCTTGCGTAGCAACTGCAATCCAGTATTTTCCTATCTTCACCAAGATCTCCAGTTCATCTCCAGTTCATGATCACAACAAAAGTTCAGAGTTTTCTTCTTCCCTCACATTAAATCTTGGGTGCTGTTGAGTTGGGGAAAATTGGTAAAAGGTAAACTGGGGATTGTTTTACCGTTAAAGGGGATTAATTATAATGGAGGTGTATTTTCGGCTCTACGGGTATTTTGTAATGATGTTTACAATATTCTAACGGTGGACAACTTAGGGTATTAGTGTGCTATTTTTTACAATTTAGGCTATTTAAGTGTAAAAGGTGTTGAAACAATAGGGTATGCTAGTGCCATTTAGCCATAAAATTCATTTGCTTTGGGAGAATCAAGGCTTGATGTCACAAGGCATATTTATATGCTTATCTTTTGTAGGAAACCATTTTTATTGTACCTTCTTCAAACTCTGTCGTGATACAGTGAAAGCTTAAGCTTTTGCTACTTGATTGCTTAGGGATTAAGTTGTTAAGATAAGACTAATAAGTGACTCTTGTCTATACATTACCCTTTTTGCTTTGGGCCAAACCTCTGTCTCATGTGTATACCTTCTAAATATTTTACTCATGAACACGACTGCATTTGATTGGTTTGTAATAAACGCCAGTATAGATTGTAACTATCAACATTATTAATTCGTTAATCCTTTCATAATTGCTTGTTTTGGTGTAATAATTCCGGCCTATCCTTTTACTGGAGTTTTACGATCTTTAATGTGGTAGCGTGCAATATTGATATGCAGGCTTAGTATAAACCCTGAGTTGTTTTGGATTTCTGAAGCGTATTCTTAGTTGTCTGAATCCCCAGATGCCTAGCTTAACATGTCAAAGAACAGGAACATGGAGGATTTAAATGACCGTGTCTTTTTTCATGTCGATCATCTCATGTTATATTATCTTAGAAAAATATTTGTCCTTTTTTGTTTGCTTTTTAATTGGTCCGCTGCTGCCTCTACTCTTCTCTTGTGGTTTATGCCAAGTTTAATGTTTCCTCATCTCTTGCAGAAAATGTTGCTGCCCTGTGGTCTTCCACCAGAGAGAGAAGAAGATTAGGTACTGGAGATCTTCAAGCCGGGCTATCATTCCTTTTATTTTATCGTCTTCCCTTCCGTTGTATGAAACAAAATGTTTGCATATTTCTATTTCCAAACTAGATGCTCTTCAATGTGAATTGTAGGAGATATAACTATTCTTATTACCATCTATGAACTATCGTATGAATTGAAAGTATTTCTGGTTCGCATATGAATTGAAACTATTGTATGAAATGAAAGTATTTCTGGTTCGTATTATGTCAGGAGTACAGGGTAATTCTGCAAGGTGATTTTTTACATACTCTCGATAAGACCGTTTCTGCTTCAGCAGCGGTACAGGGTAATTCTGCATGGTATTCTTTACATACTCTGGATACACTGTTTCTACTTCAGCAGCAGTTATAGCTAGGTGTTTTTGCTGTGTTGCTGCTGTAAGACTGTAAGCGACTTTGGGGCTGTTTGGTATAGCTTGCCACCACAGCGTGCAATTGAATTGTTGATCCAACTGTTATTGCGTGCAGGTATTATTGTTGTTGTTGGTTCTATTTGCAATGTATAATAAGCAACTTGGTTTCAGTTTTAATAAATTGGGGGGGGG